TTTATTGAAAAAGACAATACAAGAAATTAATGACGTTTCTTGTTAATATCAAGAGAAAGTAAATATACATAATAAACAGAAAAAAGAAGTTGGAAAACTCAGTATATCATATAATTAATAAAAAATGAAATTTATTATATACATAGTTAATAATTGAAAAGTTTTTAATTATTTCAAAATGACTATTGTATTATTATTTTTTATGTGTTTTTTATAATTATCACTGATGTGTTTATGTTTCACAATGCAATTTGTATTTCATTACAACTTAAAACCAATTGTTTTTTTTTGTTTTATGTATAAAAAACATATTTATTTTATTTTATATTTATATTTGTTTCAGAATGAATGTTAATGCATTTTACCAATATTATTATTTTGCCATTTTTTACGTTTTTGTCATAAAATTTTATATTTTTTTTACAATTTATTTGTTTATTAGTTCACGATTTGAACTCGTTATTCCATCTTCATTTTACTATATATGAACTACACTGTATAATATATTTTTTTTCAAAAAACAAAAACACTGCTTTTTTAGTAGTATTGGTCAATTGGGGATAAGGTACGTCGGCGAGTTAATATTTTTATTGAAAACAACAAAAAGTTTTTTTTCAAAATATAAAACTAGTTTATATTAATTATAATTGTTTATAAATAACTATCATTAGGTGTAATGACCACACTAAGGGCATACTAGGGGATGGACGTCTATCCACTGGATAAGCGTCCATTCGGTGACAACACGCTTTTTTGCTGGATACAAATATTTTTTTAGTAAAAATAAATCAATTTTGTCATTAAAAAATGCATTTATTTACAAATAAAAAATTGTATCACCAAATGGTGTCATCTGCCACATTACTACGTTATTTTTACTATTCAATATGTTAATTATGATACTTTTATTAACATTATTTTTTTAATTTACACGCTAATTTATTAACAATATCGTTAATTTTTCAATAAATTGAATACATTTATTTCAATAAAATTTGTTCGTTATTATCTGCTCGTTATTAATAAAACAACTCGTTAAATAACAAACCAAAAATATCAAAACAAAACTGTTTTTTTAAAATTGTTTTTTAACGGTATCAGATAAATGATCTTGTTAATAATACATTGTAATGATGAGTCATTTACACTACGATCTACAAAATGTATTCCGATATTCCAAGTATAGTTTTATGTTGGTAGCTGAATAAAAAGTATAGTAAAATGAAAAATAGAGAACTTGAAATAAATTTGGGTTATTTTTTTCAAACTTTTGGGAGATCGTCCTAAAAAGTTGCAGTGGACAGATCGATTTCGGTGGATGCGTTAAAATGGCCACATATGGGCTATTACTTTGGGATGATTGGTTTATGGGATTTTTCACGTTTTATACAAAAAACAACAAAAATATCCGTAAAATCTGTATAGGGGTGTGATAAAGTGGTTGTAAATGATAAATCCCTTGTCGATTTTGGTAGATCTTCCAGAACAAAAAACAAGTCAATTTTGACTTTTTACCATTTTTTCATTTTGTGTAAAGAAAAAGGAAACCCCTATAATGCACTTTTGGGAATAAGAAAAAAATGTAAATTTTTGACTTATGTTTTTAGATGCTATATTTATAATGATTTATTTTTAGTCTTTTTTTAGTAAAAAAAATAAAATAGAATACAAAAAAAGTTGACACAATATTCATTTAAATATTACAGAGACGTTTTTACTTATGATCGTCTATTGAATATTCCACACGTTGATAACATTCGGGTTTACTCTCATTTTCGTTTTGTTGCGTCTTATTCTGTTCTATCTGACCATCACTCAAATTGCTGTCTGCCTCTGGTTGTCTTTTTAATTTTTTATTCACCATCGCTTTATGGTGTTTTCAACCCTTATTGAATATTTGTAGTTCTTATTAAGATTTTTAATTAAAAAGATAAAAGGTTATATAACTACAATATAAAAAATGATACTTTTTATTAAATGTTTATTTGATTTAAAAAGGGGTAAAATCTAACATTTTTTAGCTCTTTATTCATTTTTTAAAACAAAAATTATCCATATTCACAAATAACTTTTAAAACGATTTTTTCGAATATTTTTCGTTGTTTTAATTAAAAAATCAGTTAAATTTATTAATTTAATTAATTATATAAATAGTTTTATTTAATATTTTTAAATGGTTGTTATGTTAAAAATAAATGGATGATTTGAATATTGTTTTAAAATGTGATTTTAAAAAAAATAACAAAAATACACAAAACTGATTATTATTGTATTTATTATATTTTATAATAGTAATATTATAATTTTTTATAACAAATTATTAAAAAATAAAAGACGAAAAAAAACTAAATACTATAGTAAATTAACTAAATACAATAATAAAATTTGTTTATTATTTTATTCAAAACTTGGGAATTCAAAACACAAAAATATCAAACAAACAGTCAACAACAACAAAAAAGCCAGCAAAAAATAAACACTTAACATCACTCTCACATTTTTTTAAAAATTTTTTAACTTGTAATAGTATGAATACTATAAAATTTAATTGATAACAAATAATACTAAAAATAACTTATTTTTTTCTTTCATATTATTACTTTTTCTTTATTCTGTTTTTATATCATACTATAATTGAGTTATGTGTTTGACTCTTTTTGTGTCAATATTCATTTCTAAATATTATTTGAATACAACAAGACTACATATTTGAATACAAAAAAATTACTTTGCATATTTTATAAGACTGTTTTGAATATGGCACAATCATAATCTATTTGTTGATTAATTCAAATAAAGACAAATTAAAATTTAATAATAAATAGAATAATTATTATTATTTGTATTATTTTTTAATTTATGTATAAACGTGTTTATGAATAATTATTGTGTTTGTATATCATCCAAAGCTCAAAGAATGTTCGTTTTCATGTTCAAACACACATTAACAATATAAATATGCATACCTATAAAATTCATGATAGTAATTATTAAACTATGTTTAATATAATTTAACTATTTTTATTAATTTATTTTTAAACACAACTGGTTCTTTTAAAAATTAGCACCTCTTAACCCTTCGAGGACGGGAAAAATCAAAATTTGTAAAAAAATAAAAATCTTAGTCAATTGTAATGTAAATGTGACCTTTTTTTTCTTTAATTTTTTCAAAAAAAGCTAGACACCCTGGAACGACGGCTCTAGTAAATTTTTATAGTAAATTGTTATAAATTATAGTAAAAAAAGTGAATTTTTTGTTGAAGTTGGGATGAACAAAGGTTCACTTTTTTGCTTGATCCTATCAGAAACAAGTCACAGTTCAATGGAAAAGTCAGATCAAACATTTATTGAGATGTCCACAACCTATAACAATAAAAAAATTAATTATAAAATATAACAAAGACCAAATTGCATCACAAAACATACTGGTCCAGAATATTCAAAAACAATTACATCATAAAATAACAAAGAAAAAGAAATAACGCATAGACTTTGAGGTGTCTTGAAATTTAATTATGCAATTGATCTCAAAAACAATTACAAGGGAAATTAAATAGATTTTTTTGTAAACTTTGAAAAATACAATAATTTAAAAAATTGGGTTTTGCTATTTTTTATGATACAAAAAGATAAGACGTAAAGACACTTTTGTTTGTTCCGACTATGAAAAAAAATCTTAGAGAACATAAGTATAAAATAAACAAAAAATATCTAAAATACATTTTCAAAAGTTTCAAAAATCACAAAATCGAGAAAAATTCTCGAAAATGACTTAAACAGTCAATATAGTCGCTTTTGTATAAACTTTGATCACCACGAGGTTTTATGGTCACTCGTTGAAATTCAAGTCGTGCCACTGTCAAAGAAGCAAGATATGAATTCATTATTTGTTATTTTATTTTTTTATCATTTTCAAACAAAAACAAAGGGCAAAATTGATTTGATATTATCATTTTCATATAAATGTTATTGTATATGGTAATCAAATGCTTATTTTGCATTCACTGTTTATGCATTTTTAAATTATGCATTTTTGGGCAACAAACCAATAATTTAAATTAAAAATAAAGGGATAATAGAAATTATAAACAAAAAACAAATAGCCAAAAACTTAACAAATAATAAAAAAAATATTTTGAACTATATTATATAATAAAAAATATTATTTATTAAAATGGAAATTTAATAAATTATAGTTTTGTATTAATAAATTTACAATTTGATAGAATTATTAACAAACATTATTATAACACCATTATCACCATAATACTCATGCATATACTTTACCAACGGTTGTTTATGGTGTTGAGTAACGACATCACGATGTTGTTATAACACAAGTTTTTAAAAACTTATCCATAAGTAAAAAAGAAAAAAAATGGTATAATGACCCCTATTTTTATTTTATTTCACGATAATTTTTTTCGAGGTTCAATAAAAAAGCACGTATTGAATGAAATAAACAGTTCCTACTTTATAAAAAACCAAACAAAATAGAAAAATCATTTCATTTTCATTAAAGCACCAGAAAGATTGTTCAAAAAATCCACTCGTTTGCAGGGTGGTAATTTGAGTACGTTTTATACGCGTTTAAGGCAGCTATATCAATCATATCATATAAAGCCCTGATGTTCCACCTGTTTGTTCGACGTCTACACGTATAATACCTGGTCATCTGATCCACAGTGTCAACCCCACCCATTTTGTGGTTGTAATCAAGGATGGGCTGGGGTTTGTGTATTGTCATTTTTTCTTTGCCAATGAACACATCCTGCTCGACGACTTCAATTTCATTCTTTTCGTGGCAGGTTGACAAGACCAATACCAGCTTCTTTTTCTCGTTGAAGTAAGAGATAAGCTTACAATTTCCTTTCGAGAAAAAGATGGTGGTATCGGGAGTTCTCCCTTTGATTGTCTTGGCTTCGTCAGGAAGTTCTTTCCTATTAATCCTCATGGTTCCCAAAAGTTGGCACCCACATGAAGCAAGGTAGTGTGACAACCTTAACGTACAGAAGAAGTTGTCACACACAACGGTAAACTTGTTACCGCGGCATAACATGGGTAGCACCATGTCCCTGACAACTCTAAAGCCCTGATTGTCCTCCTTACCACCACACTTACCACAGTACAATTGGAGGTTTAGAGTCATTCCTGTCTCACAGTCGGCACACATCTACAAGTAAGAAAACTATAAATAACTCAAATAAACAAATAATTAAATTATTAAATTTGATCATACATGTCAAACCAATAATAACTACCCGTCATTTTTGACTTCATAAATAAAACTCATTTGGTAAAAATAGAACAAACCCAAAACTTTATACCATAACGTCCAGGCTTAGACTTAATAAACACCTTAGCCCACATATGCCCTTTATAAGAACACAAATGTTCGTCAACCGAAACACTATTACTAGGTTTGTAATAGGTTTGGTTGACAAGGTTAGAAATAAACTTATCTAAAATCACTCTAATTCTAGAAAAGCTGTCGTGTGCATTTGGAGTTATTGCAGGGACGACTTTAACAACTCCACTACCAACAATGCCCCTTTTGATTCTGACATCTTTCCTGAGTTGCTCTTCAGAGAGATCTCTGAAATCTCGATCTGAATATTCCGCGCAGTTGAAATACTCTCCTTCTGGTCCGTTGTCAGCTTCCTCTTTCTCTTCGACATCCCCATCATCTGAAGTGTCTGATGCATCATCACAAACATCATCTGGCTGATTCACATCGTAAGTTTCGATGTGTGAAGAAATGAATTTAAACATGTCACGTGGCATGCTATTTCTATAAATAGATTTTCCGTGGTCGATTGACCAAAGCTCTTCCACGGGATTAATAACATCATGGTGAGCTCCCATGTAGAGAAGAATTCCTAGGTACCTCAGGATGCTCGTTTTAGAAAGTTTGTTATCATCAGTCTTATGTTTTTGGCTATTTTTTTATTTGAAAACAACAAAAGGTTATTTGTTATCTCTTCACAAAAAAACAACCTAAAACACTCAACTTCAGTTAAATTACTTCCTTTGGGATCAAACGAGTAAGTCGGATCAGGCGAAGCTTTAACGTGTCGTGAGATTTTTGGTGCTTCTCCTTCTTTCTTCCATTTAAATGTGCCAACAATCTCGTCTTCTTGCATAAGGTTTATGTTTTTTAATTCGATAAAAATGTTTGCGATAGAAATATACTGTTTTAATTTAACATATTATAATATTACATTGATTTACATATATATAATAAATAATAATATTACTATTAAAAACTATTAATGAATAAAATTTTTAAACATTTTTGTATTATATAAAAATAATTTAAATTAATTAAAAAATCATTATAAATTTAATTTATACTTTAGATTATATTTATTTTAAAATAATACAAATTATAACTAATTTTCATTGTTATTATTGATTATATTTATTAGTGAAACTAATTTAAAATTGGATTATTAGCTTGTTTTTATGTTTCATTGAGTGGAATTATTTTCAAACATTTGATGGATAAATGTATTTTTCGTTGTCTTGAATCCAAATTAATATACATTAATTTACAATAATAAATAAATTATTGTAAAAATATACTATTGCTACTTTTTGAAATCCATCAAAAAAATAAAAATTGATTCAAATTTCTCAATTAAACCAAATAAACAAAACAACTTTTTTGTCGTATTTTTAAAATATACACAACTACTTTAATATAATAATTATAATAGAAACTTATTAGTAAACGATTTTATTATTTTTTATAAATACAACAACACAATTGATAATAGTTTTAAGAAAATTGGTTTTTTAAACTGATTGTGTTTAGTATCGATTATATTTTTCTTCTACTATCAATAATTATTTAAATAATATATTTATTTCAATAAATGGTAATATAATGTTGTTGTATATAAAAATAAAAATAATTATAGAAAAACAGAAACATACTTGACAAAAAAAAACAAGAAGAATTAAAAAGAGTCGAATAATAAGAGATGGATTACAATAGAATTTAAAGTTCAAATAAAAACACTACTAACCAACATAATAATCCAAGACAAATTGTTGCAAATTATCTTATTTTTTTCTTGTGTTTTTATCGTTATTTCCTGAAAGTACACGTAATTGTGTTCCATTCATAGTAATAAATTAAAAACAAAAGACTTGTTTTCCATGTTTATAAATAAAAATAAAAAACATAAACTAATTATTTTGTGAACTACAAACACAGATTAGTGTTTACTACGTTGCTCTTGACATCAACAGAGAAATGCAGAAGGCTTCCCCATCATTAGAATTTAAGAAATCACATTAACTATCAAATGGTGAAATCATCACCATTGGAAACGAGAGATTCAGATGTCCAGAAGCACTTTTTCAGCCATCATTCCTTGGTATGGAAGCATCAGGTATCCACGAGACAACTTAAAACTCAATCACAAGGTGCAATGTCGATATCAGAAACAAGTTATATTAAGCATTGTCTCCTATGATTGAATTTAATGTACCCAGGCATTAACGACAGACATCAGAAGGAGAAAGTTGCAGATGAGAAATGAAATGGCATAATCAAGGCTGTTCATGCTTGGTTCAATTTAATTATATTTGTGTAGGTGTTCATTTGGTTTAGTTTTAATAATTATTGTTATAATCAATCATAATATATAATAAATTTACTATCAGTTATATAATTCACAAGTTGATTAATTATAGTTTGATTTTTTAATTTAAATTACTATACAATTTATTATTCTTTTGTCACGCATTGTATAATGTATCCAAAACAGCCATTTTTCTGGACTTAAATTGATGTTTTATAGCGTTGTTTTACCATATAAGATAATTGTTTTATTGTTATTATTGTGTTAGTTGAATAACACATAAAAATGATAATAAATAGTAGGTTTTTATCGTAATATTTTGATGTTATTTGGTTCTCTAAGTATTTTTAGTTTGAGTGGAATCCATTTTTTTATTTCAACAACAATATTTTTGTTATGTTCTTATTTTATTTTGGTTTGAACCAATCTTATTGGTTATATTGAACCCAAATTGTTGCACTTGTTTTAAGTGTTTTTTATATTGTTTTTGAAAAACTTGAATATCTGATAATATTATTTAATCAATTTTATTAATAATTTTATTTGTTTATGAAAACAGTTTATTTTCGTATTATTTTTATTACTAATATTAATTTGTTAAATTGTATATTTTTTTAATTGAAGGACAAATCTTTACAAAACCCAATTAATTTGAGTTTATGAATGATAAAATGTTTTATAAATAATTCAAAAGTTTGAATTTGAGTTGAACTATTTTATCAAATATTTCAAAAATCGTTCTAAATTGTTCATGAAAAGTCGCCATTATTTTCATTTTTTTGGAAAAGTGAAATTATTTTTTGAAATTTTTTTCTGAAAAAAAAGAAAAAAATAAAATTTTTCAGTCCTCGAAGGGTTAATATTTGATCTAATTACACAAGACGATGTTTAAAATTAATTTCAATGCAACAAACATGACACATACAGTAAAGTGTTTATTTTTATATTTCATTATTGACTTTATATAAACAAAAGTTATTTTAACACCGAGTCATTTTTCTTTTCTCGACTGTTACTCTTTTGTTTGTAAAGCGTTTATTTCACAAAATAATACTTCAAAAACATTAAACACATAAAGTGTATATCAAGTCATGTATATGATTTTATAAACAATGTTTTAATATTGAAGAAATAAAGTCTGTTTTTGTAGTTGACTAAAAAACTCGAGTCGTTATTCTCCTCTATAAGTTAATTTTTATTAAAAAATATGTTCATTTTACCCGTCACGCCTCTCAGAAACAAATAAATTCGCATTTTGTATTTTTTAAAACGAAAAACAACTAAAATCCATTCCAAAATGTCTTTCGTCTGATTGGATAAAAAATGAAAATAAAAATAACTCAAGTCTTATATTCTCAAAGCCGTTTCAAAAAGTGTGCAAAAAAGAAAGTGAACCAGGGGTTTTCAAGCATACAAAATAACAAAAAATAAATGAATTATGTTTTACATTTGGTTCGAATGGAAGATCTACCAAAATCGAAAAGGGGTTTATCATTTACAACCACTTTATCACACCCCTATTAATCGTTACCTGGGAAATAACACCGACTCTAATTATATGATCGTTATAAATAATAAACAAATAAATATTTTAAAATGACTTTTTTTTCTCAAAACCAATAAACATGCTAAAAGTTGAGAATGAAGGTAATCTTTATAAC